GGGGGCAAGGCGGTGGTGTTAGGCGCAATAGGGGGCCCACGACGGTACGCTGCACGTCCCCAGGCGCACACCTGCTGCGAGCGGGCCCTGGCGCAACGCAGCCCGGCGCCGACTGGCAGGCGACACGCCGCCTGCGTCTGGTGACCCAACCAGCCTGGATTGCTCAAAACATCACGTAGTCTTCCCCCCTTTTTCCAGATCCCACCTCTGTGCTGCTGCCCAGGTCCGCCAGCTCAGCAACCAGCCTCAGCCGCTCAAAATTGATGTTGGCGCCAGACGTCACCGCCACCACTGTGCGGCCCTGGGACCCGCTGGCCTTGAGCCACGCCTTGGCGCCAGCCACCTGCGGCAAACAGAGCGGCAAGTCGGCGCAGAATGGTCATGGCTTTGGGGCACGTGGTAAGTGGTGCGCATGTGCGCATGGAAATGGCCACGGGCCTCCGCACCAAGGGGCCAAATCCAACACACGACAGGGGATGCAGATGCGGATGTTGCTTCACGCGCGCCAGCAGCTGGCAGCCCGAACCTGTGAATTCCCCTTGCGTTGTGTGGCCTGCGCCTGCTCACCGCGACAGCCCCCGCTGGCTCCAGGATGGAGCGCGTCTCGTTGAAGACGTCCTTGATGGCGGCGGAGATGGCGGCGTTGTCCACCAGCACGACGCCGTCCACCAGGTCGCGGGCCATGCGGAACGTCTCGGCACCAACCTGGGGGCCGGGGAGCAAGCGGGTCTTGAGCGCTGCCAGGCTCACGGGAGTTGGCTGTGCCCTGCTTGTGCCAAAAACCACCCGCATTCAACATCCCCGGAAAACTGCGCGAGCCGGCCTGGTTGCCGCCACCGCCCTTGCTACCCGCCCTTGTTCCATCGTCTGGGACAGTAGAGGCTCACGTGCTTCACCGCGACGCCATCCGCGAAGCCGTCGACCTTTGACAGCGTCACGCGCGCCCCCTTTTCCAGGGACATGGCCATCGCGTTGGCACCAGCGGGCTCAACGCCGATCACCTGCGCGCAGCCGGCGGTATGACGGGATTCAGGCAGGCAAGGAGCGGAATGGGCAGCTTTGTGCACAAATGGAGGGCTGCTCCCCCCTCCACGTCCCCCCCACCGCCAACCCACCTTGACATGTGGCTGCAGGGCCTTGACATAGGCGGCTATGCCGGCAATCAGGCCGCCACCACCCACCGCCACAAAGATGGCGTCAAGCTGGGCAGGGTTGCCAATCTAGTGTTGAAAAGGGGGAGACTTGGTCCGTCAACGGGCTGGGTTGGATGCTTCGACCACGTGCATATAAATGGCTCCCTCAGCCAAAACGCTGCGGCACTTTGGGGGTCCCAGGTGGTCCCTCAACCCAGTACTTGCCAAGCCTAAGCACACTTGCGAATCCTGCTGGGTTCAGGCGTATTTTGTGGTGGTGTGACCAGAGCAGGGGCAATTGAGCGCCCTCCCACCTGCCGCAGGATTTCGTCCCCGATGGTGCCTTGACCCGCAATGGTGTAGGGGTCGTCGTACGGCGCAACAAACGTGAGGCCCTCAGCCACGGCGCGCTGCATTCACACGACAGTGTCGAAGGGCGGGTCCAAGAGGGAGAGTTCGAGGGGGTGGTCCAGGGCCAACAAGCTGTGGGAAGCAGGCATACGAAGTGGTGTGGTGCGGATTCACTCGGCGACCGCCCCTGCTTGCCCCAAACGCATGCGACACCCCTGCTGTGCGCCATGCGGCCTTCACCTGCAGTGCGTGCGCCTGCGCCTCTTGGTAGGTCTCCCCTACCAGCTCCACCGTGCCACCCAGCCGCCGCACATTTGCCACCTGCGGCACCAGCACGACGCCGCGGCAACGGCAGGTTGCAGAAGCTACGGTGAGACACAAGGAGCAGCTGCCAAGCCCTGGACGTTCCCACTGCGCACGCACCACCAGAGCGTCGCAGCCTCACGCTTCACGCAAAACCGGGGGGGGGGGGTATTGTAGACCCCAGCCTTCCTCCCTCTCCCCCTTCAGCCCCAGGCCCTGTGCACCTTGATGTCAGGAGTTGTCACCGGCATGCAGATGACGGCCTTGCACCCCTGAGGACCAGCAGCGAGGTGGAGGGTGTGACTAGGAATTCGTCCATTTGCTGTGCACGCAAGCTCATCCCCCCCCCCCAAAAAAGAAACGCCAAAATCTCTGAGTCGCCATGTCCAGGCGTCCCTTACAACTCAAGTGAGCTGCGGAGATTTTCAGGCAGGCCCCTTCAGAACTTCAATGCGTCATGTCAAAAGCAGCGCTTGACTGCGGGACAGCTAGGTGTCAAACCATGTCAGCACCCCAGCAACCATGCCCACAGGCCCGACCACAACACACACACAAACACACACACACACACACACACACACACACACACGAGACGCAACGGCTTCGCCCACCAGCTTCTGGGCCGACAGCGCCACGCCCTGTGCGTGGTTCCCAGCGCTGCTGGTGATGACGCCGCGGTCCAGCTGCTCCTGCGTGAGCTTGGCCATCTTGTTGTACGCGCCCCGCAGCTTGAAGCTGAACACCGGCTGCAGGTCCTCGCGCTTCAGCAGGATGCTGCTGCCCAGCGCGTCACTCAGCTTCACGGCGCGCTCCAGGGGAGTGATCACCTGGAGGCCGGGCGGGAGGGCGGGAGGGCGGGAACCATGGGAGGCGCGTCCGCAGGGTGGGGAACACGCTGCTGCAGGAAGTCTTGAGGAAGGCATGGCCACCCCCAGGAGCTGCCCACCGCCATCGCTGGACGTTGCCCTGCAGCGCCCGTTGCGCCCGTGATATCTCTGCCCACCCCACCCAACAAAGCGCTCGTCAAGCCTCCACCAGCCGCAGCGCACCGCGACATCGTACACGCGCGCCGTGAGGATGGCCCTGAGGTAGCCGTCAGGCTCAAACCGCCAGCTGGTTGCAGCGCAGCCGCTCGCCGTCTGCGTGGTACATGATAGGCAGGGGCAGTAGTGTTGCAAAGGCATAAATATTGGTGCCAGCTGCATGGCGTCCGTCGCAGGGGCAGTGCATGGGATGCATTATTGAAGGACGGCAACAGCAAAAAGGCAAGTCGCACGGCGCTTCGAAAAGCTGCGCCGTGCCATGCACTGCACTGACGTGAAACAGAGAAGCAGACCTCCAGCCTAGCAGCCGTGGCAGCTCCACCCTCACGTCACCCCTGGCTTTGCCACTGCATATGCCCACAGCCCGCGCACCATGCACTCTGCTTTTGTGCAGCCGGGGCAGCGGAACACGTCGTCGGGCGACGCAGGGCTGGTGCGGTCCACCTCGCTCAGCACGCCCGGTGGCAGCTCAAACTCCTCTGGTATAAACGTCAATTCTTCAAAGCTGCTGAGGGAGGACCCCGACGAGCTGCTAGACGTCACGACCGTCGCAGCAGTGGGCGCCGCCGCCTGCCGATGCGCCGCTGCCTCCTCCGCCGCCTCTTGCAACTGGCTGCTTGCTGCCGCAGCACGCTGTGTTATGCGCCCCTTGCTGCTGCTGCTGGGTCCTTGAAGCGAGCAGACAACGTGCTGTTGCGCCCTGGCCGCGGTCCATCCTTGGCACGCCCGGATCACCGAACTGCCGCCGAGCCGGTTAATATTACTCAAAGTATGGTTGACTTGTTGATTCCCTCCACTAAAACCACGTGCACGCCCAGAAGGGTCTGACAGCAGGGGCCGCATTTGTATGCGCTGCGGCCAACAGATGCGTTCTATGGATGTGCGCGCAGGTAGGACATTGTATGTAGATGTTGGTGAAAGCAATTGGAAGCACTTCGGGGAGCCTGGCTCAAGCTATTATTCAGGTCCCTTCAATGAGTCGAAAAGCGTCGAGTGCTGCCGCCGATGAGCTGATGCATCTATCTACATCCAGCAATGCGCACCCGTTCTTCAGTCAGTAGCTGCTATCATCGATGCCCATACGGATTGCTGCTGCCCGTTGACAGGGGAGGAGCGGCATCAGTCTCTCTGATCATCAGTTGACGAGCAACACGGGGTTGACCATTTGACCCACCAGGGTGGCAGCTGACAGCTGTGGGGCAACATCATTGACTGCAGCTGCACAGTATCCAATGACGACTTATTGGCTTTGACTTATCATTGAAGCTGTGCGGCGGTCTCCGCGTGCCACCGTCACTATTGCACATCCACACAGTGCAATAGACGGTCAGGCCATCACCGCTGTTGAATGGAACTTGGCCGGTGTCAACGCCAACGGCAGTGTGCTTCCCTCTATCATACCATCAGAAACAGCAAGATTTGTACAATCACCAGTTGTGTGAGTAGCTGCATCGCTGTTGAAGGTGGCATCTTCAAACAAGTCGAATAGCGGGAGCCAGCACCGTATCTTGGTATGTAGACTGCTCGGTTGGATTCTATCGTTGCGTGCAGGTACACAGTGTCTCACCACCCACTCACTCGCCGTCTCGTGCAGCAAGCGCACCCTGCGCCTGGTGTCGAAGTAGGCGGCTCATGCAAGGAGTGCTTCGAGGTTCCAAGGCGCCCAGGACGTGCCGATTGCTCATGTATCATAGGCGCAGATGTATTTTGTAATGGGTCCCCACAATCTGCCATGTCAAATGTCATCTCACGGACCTCATTCAATAGCAGGCGCCAGATCAGTATCAGTAGATCATCTCGACCGGATTCGGCACTTCCCTCCGAAGCGGTAGTCCAGCGCGGCCTGCTCGCCTTTGAAGATTTCAGCCTCTATTATCATCGTCAAAAAGTCCATCCAGTGGCACTGCGTCCGTGCTGAGGCGCAGTGTGCACCAGTCGCAGGGCCGCCCTGCTCTGCTGGTGCATGGGGAGCGCACTGGCATACGTGTGGGGCCTGGTGGATGGAAGCATTTTGCGCGGCAAAGTGCTACCAGCGCAGAGCACGGCCCTGCTGGTGCTCAGGCAGCCGAGGCACAACCCGCTGTCAGCCTTCCTGGCGAACGCTCTGGGTGATGTGGAAGTTGGCGAATGCGCTGAGGCCTGCGCCGCACCGACTTTAGCGTTGCCTCCATCACAACTGCATCAGCAGCAGCAACAGCAGCAGCAGCAGGCAGCAGCAACGGCTGTGGGGTGGGACCATGAGCTCCGGCTTGAGGCGGACGGCCGCGTCTCAGTGCGCGGGTGGAACAAAGATGGCCAGGCCGATCCCAGCACGCACCGCGTGAGGCACATAGTCAGCTGGCGGCTGCTAGCGGCGCTGGCGGCGGTGCGCGTGGTGCAGGTCGCGGCAGGTGGGCGGGGGACCTTCGGTTGCCCGAGGCCCCTATCCCAGATGCAGGAGGCCGGCCACTACATCGCGACGGCCGGCTGCGCCCTAGAATTTCGGCCCAGCATGTGCTCGTGTGCCAGCACGCAGCACGCTCAGGGCCCCTGAATCCCCGCATCACTCTGGCAGGTGAGCGCCACAGCCTGGCGCTGTCGGATGACGGCCGTGTGTTCTGCTGGGGCGAGCGCCGCTGTGCCGCCAGGGTGCCGGCTGGCAGCGTTCGCTCTCGAAGCCAGGCTAGCGGCCTGGAGGAGGACGAGGAGGCGGAGGAGGCGGTGGAGGGGGAGGAAGAGGGGCAGGGTGGCACGAGCGTTGGCGTTGGTGTCCGGACCCGCAGCGACAACGTTGAAGCGGGGATTGTCGAAAGACAGGAGCAGCGGTGCAGCGGCATCACCATCGCGTGCGTCGCAGGGCCGAGGACAGACGCACCCGAGCCGGTGGCGCAGATCGCGGCCGGCGGTCGCCACAGCCTGGCTTTGACTGCTTCTGGGGCAGTGCTGGCTTGGGGATGCAACCTCCAGGTGAAGCGTCCGAAACGGCCCCGTCCCAGCTCGGGGGGGAATTTATGCTGCTCCTTTGCACTGCTTGACCAGAAATACCCTGCCCGCCCTGCATCACACATACGCATCCAAAGCTCTGCCTCTTGCCCTTGCCCGCGCACCCTGCAGGGCCAATGCGCCGTCGACAGGGGTGTCGCTGCCGTTGACGTGGCTAGCCCCACGCGCGTCGCTGCCCTGGGCGGCATCCCTATCGCAGCGCTGGCGGCGGGAGCCGGCCATTCGGTCGCTCTCAGCCGGGACGGGGTCGCCTACGCTTGGGGTTGCGGCCTGGACGGTGCGCTCGGTGCGGGCATGGCCCAACAGGGTGACCCTTGGCCCAGGCGGCGCCGCTCCTCCACCTCCTCCTCGTCAAGGCGCCGCTCTTGCAGCGAGGATGACAGCAGCAGCGACGGCGATGGCAGTGGCAGCGACGGCGGTGGCATTGCCGGCAGCGGGGCCAGCGGTGGCGGCATGAGCGGGGCGGGCCCGATCAAGGCTGGATTAGGCTTGTCCAGTGCTGCGCCGCTGTTGATGGAAGGGCTTGGCCTGGACGACGAGGAAGTGGTGCAGGTGGGGTGCATGATGCATGTGCTTTGCTTTGCGGGCGCTGGAGCCAGCAGTGTGAATGAAGGAAAAGGGCCGGCCCATGGGAGTTTGAGGCTGGGTGCAACAGGGGCCTCACTCTTGCCGCGGCACTCAACATGCATCGCACCATGCCCGCACCTTGCCCAGGTCGCCTGTGGTGGACGCCACACGCTGCTGCGCTGCGCAAGCGGTGCCGTCTACGCCACTGGCTGGAACCGTTACGCACAGTGCTGCTGCTGCAGGGGCGCGTCTGTGGACGGCGCCAGCAGGCGCAGAGGCAGCAGTGGCGAGATAAGGGGCTTGAGAGACACAGCAGAATTTGGGGGCCTTGCCCAGGCATGGTGCTGCAGTCATGGAGAAGCGATCTACCGCCCTACACGGGTGCAGCTGCAGCCCCTGCAACTTCCGGGGCAGGAGCAGGCGGCAGGTGCCTTGGCGCAGGATCAGGCCAATGCTGATGCGGGGTCATCACCTACCGGGAGACCGGACAAAATGCGGCGCCTCAGCTTGTGTGTTGGGGGCGGCGACGACGCCACCGGCAATAGCGAGAGCAGCAAGGGTGTACATCGCACATTGCGGCAAACCGCAGAGGGCGAGCCTGCATTTACTCTTGGGGTCACTTCCGTGTTCGCAGGCCCATGGCACACCATCATACTTGTTGCTTGAGTTTTTGACAACAAGAACGCCTATCTTTTGCGCGCAAGCAACACATACATTGAAACAAGTGGCATCCCTGACAGGCAATGGTCACCACCCCTTGCAGACACACCCAGTAGTGGTTGAAGTACAGTCACTTCAAGCACGAGCACTCCAGCAGCGACCGGCTGCCCCTCAACCTCCACTCTCCTGTAATAAGCCTAATTTGTACCAGGATCTCATGCCTGCCAACAAACGGCGATGTGCGCCCTTTGCCAGCATACGCCCACCCATGATGCACTTGTAGTGACACCCGCACCCGGCACTGGCGACATTTGCTGTGGCGCGTGCCACAGCATGCGCCACGGGGCGCTCTCGCAGCCCATTTTATTTGGCAACATACTTGATTGCGTGGCAGTGATTTATGTGGCTCGCGTTGGCTGCGATCTGCTCGTGCGTGAATTGAGGGCTCAGTGTTCAGCATGCAGCGGCAAGGGCTTTTGAAAGCTGGCAGTGGAAGTGCCACAAGGATCGCTGCCTCTCCCAGCAGGCTGGGATGGCGGTCGGAGCAGCGCCAGTGGCGCACACCAGCCAGCCAGGACGACGACGCTGCGCCCACGACCTCGTACAACAACCTGGCTGTCACTATCAAGTGAATTGGGCTGGGGGCCTGATTGGGCTGCTTCAGGCTGGCGGCTGAGTCGTAACCAGCTCAGCTGTCACTGCACACAACAAGGGCTGGCAATCGACCCCATTGCACACGCCCCAGTGCACCTCAAGCAGGTCCTTGCGCGTTGACCTCCAGGGAATAGCGTTCTCAACCTGCCTTGCTGAAGCGGGCCCCATGTTTCAGCTAGGCTAGCAACAGCCCACCATGCCAAGGGACGCCCGCAGACACCATCGAGGTTTGCCGCTGTTCCTGTGCCGCTTGACCCCAACCCCGCCACCTGTCTAATGCCCACCAGGCGGAAGCAGCGGCAGCTCGAGGCGCAGCTGACTGAGCTGGGCATGGAGGCGCTGGACGAGAGGCTGCAGTCCGCAACACAGGTACGGTGATGTGCGCAACAGTTGGCGGCCAGAGCAGCATAAGTCGGTCAGGACAACATTGTCTCATAATTTATGGCATGCTGCTCGTCGCTTGCAGTTGCCCCCTCCTCACTTATGATGACCATCTGGGCGGCCGCAGGCTCCTGTTCAGCCCCCGTATCGGCTGTCGCGCCTGATCAGCCAAATCACCAGCACAGAGGGCCGTGCGGCGGTGGTGGTCGAGATATCGCGGCCATCGCCATCGGCGACGGCGGCGCAGCTAGAGGCCATCGCCAAGAGGGCCGTCGCGGCGGTGCGCGCCTGAAAAGTTGTGGGCGGCTCGTCAATGCACAGCAAGTGACTTGCCTGTTGGCGCCTCAGGCAGACGCCATCGATTGGGTCAGTCGCTGTTGGCCGCATCCGTCATCAGCCCTGAATAGCTCGCATATCACCTCGTGTGCGGTCTTGACATCTCACAATACCTGCTCTATCATCAAATCGTGCATGTGCATTGATACACGCACACTAGCATACATCAAACACAGCCCTCGCATGCATGCTGCGCACCCCCCCTTCTCCTACTGCAGGGTGCCGACGCCCTGGTGGTGCGTGTTGACAGCGAGGACACCCCCGAGGGCTCCAAGGACCTCTTCATCGTGAGGCAGGCCGTCAAGGTGCCCGTGCTGGCCCGCGACTGGTACATCCACCCGCTGCAGATAGTGGAGGCCAAGGAGGCCGGGGCCGCGGGGCTGATCGGCGTCATCGCGCAGGTCTGCGGGGGGGACGGGGTGGGGCAAGAGGGATACTGGAGTGGGGTGCAGAGCGCAATTTGCTAGGGGGGCTGCAATGTAGAACGCAATCATTGGCCAGGGAATTAGCAGCGTGCGGTGCGGTTCGGCCAGCATGTGTGGGCAGGTAAAGCCAGCCCTAGTTTGTCGTTTGTGCCTTGGCCATGCAACGACGCTTGCTGACCGGCACCAATTTTTGGGACCTGCCTGCCTCTCCTGGCAACCGACCTTGCATGTGAACCCTGCTTGATTTGGCAGGTCAATGGCAAGGGCACGGCGGTGATGAGCAGCTTTTCGGCTGCACTGGGCCTGGATGCTCCTGTGGAGGTCGTCAACTCACGGGTGGGTGGCAGGGGGGCCGGCGCACGGGTCTCCCACCAAAGGGATTGTGCTTCAGCCCATCAGATTGTAGCGGTCAGCAGGCGCGGCGGAACTTCATTGCCCCTTCAACCCTGCGGCGTACCTGATCGTCACGCCCAACCATCACACCGCCCCTGAACTCGCTGCTTACGCACATGATGCGCGGGGCCGCGCCCCACGCCACCTCCCCTCGGACCACGAAGCGCACAGCACCCAAACCCCTCATCCCACCCCCCACTCACCCACCAAACCACCCCCCACACCTCCCCTCCCCCCCCCCAGGAGC